TTGAACCTGGGAGGTGGAGGTTGCAGTGAGCTGAGATCACGCCGTTGCACTCCAGCCTGGGCAACAAGAGTGAAACTCTATCTCAAAAAACAAACAAACAAACAGAGATTTGTCTACAATGCATTTGTCTTAGTTTTCAAAAGCTTAAACCTCACACACAGAAAACAATGTTGCACTAACAATGACAACTAACTTTGTGCATGTTTTCAGGTGTCACATGAGTATTTAAATATTATCAATGTCTGGGCACAGTGGCTCATGCCAAGGCAGGTATATCATTTGAGACCAGGACTTCGAGACCAGTTTGGCCAACATGGTGAAACCCTGTCTCTACTAAAAATACAAAAAATTAGGTGGGCATCATGGTACATGCCTGCTGTAATCCCAGCTACTTGGGAGTTCAAGGCACAAGAATCACTTAAGACCAGGAGGCAGGGGTTGCAATGAGGAGAGACTGTGCCCCTATACTCCAGCCTGGGTGACAAAGAAAGACTGTCTCAAAAAATAACATAGAATTAAAAAAATAAATATTATCCATGCTTGTTATGGTTTAAACATTAGTAATTTAGGCTATCAACAATGAATTTTGGGCTGGCCTTGTGGCTCACACCTGTAACCCAGCACTTTTGGAGGCCAAGGCAGGAGGATCACATGAGCTCAGGAGACCAGGCTGGGCAATATGGTGAAACCACAGCTTTACAAAAAAAAAATATATATATATATAAATTAGCAGGGCATGGTGGTGTAGTTGTAGTCCCAGTTACTTGGGTGGCTGAGACAGGAGTATCACTTGAGCCTGGGAAGCAGAAGCTGCAGTAAGCCAAGATGCTATCTCAAACATCCCCCCTCACCAAAGAAAAAAAAAAAAAAAAAACAACAACAACAACAAAAACAACAAAAAGGAATTTATTTTGCTGTCTGGACCAAACACAAATACAATTACACCACCATATTCTGAAATCAGAATCAATGACTTTCAAGAAAAGGCTTCTACAGGTCAAATGGAGATCTGCAAGTCTTCCAGATTATCTTCAAAATCTATTGATAGACATTTCTGTTGTGCTTCATTATAGAAATTACCAGATTTTCACACATGTATTAGAACTTGGAGAGGCTCTATCTGCTCCGGCCCCGCCCACTGCAGGCCGCTCTGCTCCCTCACAAGTACACTCACAAGGGCAGCAAGGCACGTTCAGTCCTTTTCCAGGTCCTCAAATCCCAGTGTCATAGCTTTATCATTTGCGCTTGAATAACTTACTGTCTGACCCATTCTTTGCATTATGCCTTGTATTGCAGTTGTTTTTGTTTCTAACAGAGTAAAAATCCAAAGGTGTAGGCAAGGCATGGTGGCTCATGCCTATGATCCTAGCACTTTGGAGGGCTGAGATGGGCGGATTGCTTGAGCTTAGGAGTTCAAGTCCAGTCTGGGCAACATGGCGAAACCCTATCGCTACAAAAATACAAATATATATATATAAGTTGGGAGTTATGGTATGTGCCTGTGGTCCCAGCTACTTGGGAGGCTGAAATGGGAGAATCGTTTGAGCCTGGGGGGCAGAGGTTGCAGTGAGCCGTGATCGCAGCACTGCACTCCTGCCTGGGCAACAGAGTGAGACCCTGTCTCAAATAACAATAATCTAAAGGTGCAAGACCATGGACTATTCCTCTTATTTCTCAAGTGGGACAGAATCAAGAAATTAAAGGCTCCCGTCTGAGCATAGACAGACAGGGGCTAAAATCCCATCTCTAAGGCATACCACCTGCCGAAACTTGGGAAAAATATTCTTACTATTTCCCATTTATAACATGAAGATAGTAGTTACCTTAGAGGGTCCTTGTGAAGCTTAATCTTGATCCCATGTAAAGCCCTTAATGGAGTGCATAGTATGTGGGCCCCAGATATCCGCTGAGTGAGGCATTTCAGTGATGCATTTCCTCAGAAATTCACTAAGACACATAGATATAATTCATAATATTTCCCCCTTCAATAAAGCTTAGTTTATTATTAACTACTGTAAACCTGAAACATCAGGGAACTGAAAAACAGAGCAGGAAAAAAGCTTTTATAATTGCACTCCACAGCTTGCAAAAGCCTTTCACATCCATTAACATACTTACTTATAAAACATCATTGAAATGTAGATTACTTTCATTTTATTCTCTGAAGTAGCTCCATTGCCCAGAACAGTGTGTGACACACAGTAGACCTTTCATGAAGAACTACCAAACAACGAATCAAGCTCAGAGTTCAAGGCTGTACCCAGGTTCTCAGAAACGACAAGAGGTAGAGGAACCAGGTCTTATTATCCAAAGCCAAATCCTGCATCCTTTCCCCTCAATCACACTGCCTGCTGCCCCCAGGGTAAGGTTTCACAGAACTGTAATTATTTAAGACAGTCTATATTTTCTAGATGACAATAACTTCAAGACAAGAAAGTGGAGTGATTAAAAAACCTTCATTAAACAAACAAACAAAGATCATTTGTGCCAACGAGGGAAGAGATACCCGGTAACATAACTACTTTGATATAGATTTTTGCTTTCCTCAAAGTATGCTCAGCAAACCACCTTGATCATGGTATGAACAAGGCAAACAAACCAAATTTCAAAACCAGGCTGAATGGAAAGATGCATTGACTGAGCTTGCTTTGAAATAATATGGAGAGAGAGGAAGTGGACAGATCTATAGATAAAAACAACATTGGCCTTGGCCATGAGCAAGGAGGTTCATTTTCCTTTTTCTATTTCTACATATGTTTGAAATCTTAATTAGAACAATGCAAGGTCGGGCACAGTGGCTCACACCTGTAATCCCAGCACTTTGAGAGGCCAAGGCAGGCAGATCACAAGGTCAAGAGATCGAGACCATCCTGGCCAACATAGTGAAACCCCGTCTCTACTAAAATATAAATGCTAGCTGAGCATGGTGGTGCTTGCCTGTAATCCTAGCTAATCGGGAGGCTGAGGCAGGAGAATTGCTTGAACCCGGGAGGCAGAGGTTACAGTGGGCCGAGATCATGCCATTGCACTCCAGCCTGGCACCTGATGACAGAGCAAGACTGTCTCAAGAACAGCAACAAAAAACAATGCAACAACAACAAAACTCTCCCTCAAATAAACTAATGTATTAACATTTGGTCACCATTGTGTAGGCACATGTGTACTAATCACTAACATGGGCTCTGAAGGGAATACATGCTTTGGGCAGCCATTGGCTCCATCTTGAAAACTCAGATATTAAATAATCTTTTCATAGACAGAGATTCTTTTAAAAAATGAAAGACACCAGGCACATTGGCTCACGCCAGTAATCCCAGCACTTTGGGAGGCTGAGGTGGGCAGATTACCTAAGGTCAGGAGTTCATGACTGGCCTAGTCAACATGGTAGAGCTCCATCTCTACTAAAAATACAAAAATTCGCTGGGCATGGTGGTGCACACCTTTAATCCCAGCTATTCAGGAGGCTGAGGCAGGAGAATCGCTTGAACCTGGGAGGCAGAGGTTGCAGTGAGTCGAGATCATGCCACTACACACCAGCCTGGGTGACAGACAGAACAAGACTCCATCTCAAAAAAAAAAAAAGAAAAAGAAAAAGAAAAAAAATACATCTGAATATTTCATAAAGTGAAAATTTTATAGAAAACCATAATGTTTTATGAATCAGGGCCACTCCATTTGCATTGGACTTGAGGAGGCATAGTTTTTCTTTGGTTAAACAGGAATATTTAGCATTTACTTGTTCTTTTTGTGTATTACAATTTTTTTCTTTTAAGAATCAGTTTTAGTGGCTCACGCCTGTAATCCCAGTACTTTGGGAGGCTGAGGCGGGTGGATCACTTGAAGTCAGGAGTTCAAGACAAGCCTGGTCAACATGGTAAAACCCCATCTCTACTAAAAACACAAAACTTAGCCAGGTGTGGTGGCACATGCCTGTAATCCCAGGTACTCAGGAGGCTGAGGCAGGAGAATTGCTTAAACCTGGGAGGCAGAGGTTGCAGTGAGCCAAGATCGCACCACTGCACTCCAGCCTGGGTGACAGAGCGAGACTCGGTCTCAAAAAATAAAAAATAAAAAAATTGTGAAGTAATATCACTGTTCCTTAGTTTAGCCTCTGTAAAATGAGAAAAAACAGTAGCAGCTGTCTTTTACAGCTGCTGTGAGGATAAAATGATCCAGTATATAGAAAGCTCTGGGATAGGGCTTGACCCAAAGGAAGGCTCAGTAAATATTAGCTGTTGTTCTTCTTATGTGAGGATTCAATCCTAGGAGAAGTACATCACCAAACGGACACTTCAGGGACAGCTGAGAAGTTACTATAGCCCACATAGGGGCTCAAATTTACTTTCGTGTGTTGAATCATTAATAGCAAGGGAAATACCTAACTCGTAACCTACTGTGCTCAGGCCACAGGAAAATGTCACCCTAGTAGTGAGAGAGACATTAAATATTTCACTCTACCAGCTGCTCAGAGCAAAGCAGCCTGGGGTGTATCCATTACTGCCCTTTTTAGATCTGCTGAAACACGTCGCAAAACCCAAACTCTGGAATTTAGAATATAATATGAACAAAGCATCTTAGGGTTGGCATAATACACAGTGAGTAAATGTGGGATTTTTCAAAATGATAAAGTGTTTTTGTTTATGGTTTTTTTTTTTTGAGAAATAGAAATTGTCTTTACATCTGACACCTCTGCCACGATATCCAGTGTGTATCTTGCCAATAAGAGACACATTACACTGGCCAGCCTAAAATAGTCTCAGGTTGTTTACCGACAATGTGTAATTGTGCATTGTAGAACCCAGAGCTGAACCTATTCATGTATTCATGTTACACTCTCATCAGAATTGCCTTATTAAATTGTTCTAATGCTAGCATCCTACATAGATGGTAAATTTCATGCATTATATAACAATATTGACATTTGGGAAGGGAAGATTATAACAGAAACTGAATCTCTTAATTTTTTCCCTACCCAGATTAAAAAAAAAAATCCTTGACATGTGCTTGCTTCGGCCGCACATATACTAAAACTGGAATGATACAGAGAAAATCAGCATGGCCTCTGTGCAAGGATGACACATGAATTCACGAAGTGTTCCATTTGTAAAGTTAAAGCCTTGTTAAAATGGCCTGTGGTTTTGACAGTTTCACATTGACTGCTTAATCAAGTGAATTCTGGATTACTTGTGTGTTTAATGACTGAGGTAGTCATTATCTGCAACTCCTGAGCTGGTCTCCCTCTTCTGGTCAGCTGCCTGACCTCACCTAAGTTTACACAGGCAAGCTCCCAAAGGGAGCTTTTAACTTTTAACTGTTTAAAAAGTGGTTAGAGGTGATCAATATTCTAATCGTTTATTGGCCTTAAAAACAGAGAATCCCATATTCTCTCCCGTTCTCTACAAAGTCACAGCAGTGCGATTCCAATTCGATTCAATCCCCAGCCATAACATAATGAATAGTGCAGCACTGCCAGTGACAGACAGCTGAAGAGGACTTGCGTGCGCCCAGACACCAGGCTCCCTGTGGAACCATCTGAGCTTAAGTTACATGGTTCATCATCCCCCTTTACCACTAAACACTCCAGGGGGGTAGTCTTTCACATTCTCTTACATAACCACGGTAGAATTATCCACTTTAGACAGTTTAATTATAACATTCGCAGTTATCTCACAGTCTGACTTTTGTCATTGACCCAATGATGTCAGTTATAGTATTATTTTTCCTCCAGATGTTCCTTTAAGTAGCTATGTCTTTAATTTGAAACATTTCTACAACCTATATTTGTCAATGACAACACTGACATTAAAAGAATACGGTATCCCTTCTCTCTCTCTCTTTAAACAGAACCTCCCACCTTTGGGCTTTCCCTGTCATTTCCTCATGATTGAATTCAAGTTCTCCGTTCCTGCCGGAACATCACATAGGTGATGCCGCGTCCTTTCAGATGTGACATCTGGAGGCACATGAGGTCTCTGCCCCTTGTTGGTGATTGCATTTTGATTTTATACTTTGGTTATGTGGTCAATGTGTTGTCTGATTTCTCTGCTGTATATATTTTTTGAACTTGTAATTTGTGGGGAGACACTTTTTTTGGTGGGGGGATGGAGTCTCGGAGTCTCACTCTGTCACCCAGTCTGGAGTGCAGTGGCACAATCTCGGCTCACTACAACCTCTGCCTCCCGGGTTCAAGCTGATTCTCCTGCCTCAACCTCCTGAGTAGCTGGGATTACAGGTGTAGGCAACCATGCCCAGCTAATTTTTGTATTTTTTGTAGAGACGGGGTTTCACCATGTTGGCCAGGCTGGTCTACAACTCTTGACCTCATGATCCACCCGCTTTGGCCTCCCAAAGTGCTGGGATTACAGGCATGAGCCACCACGCCTGGCCGGGAGACACTTTTAAGACATCACAAATGTCCAGTTCCTATTGCAATTTCCCTTTAAATGTGATGTTCATGGATGGATCTCCCCTGATCCAGTCTCTGCAATGGCCATGAAAGGATGCTTTCACAGCAACCATTTCCTCTGCATTATATTAGTCAGCCTGGGCATGCTGCTGTAAGCACAGCCTCCCTACTTTTCACTTATTAGTTAATAATCAATATGAATGTATAAATTCCTATTTTTTCCAATGGCATATAATACCTTACCGTCCATAATTATTTTGGTGTCCACAGTGTCCCTGGTTGTCCAATAAAAGCACTTTCAAGCTAGCACATGTGTCCTTGTGACAGGCTCCCATCATTCTGTGAGCATGTCCATGCTTTGTGACAGTAATGAGATAATCTAAGCTCAAATTGTCCCTCTCCTGACCCAGCTTGTAATCAGCAATTTCTCCCAGTAGCCCTTTTAATGGGAAATGATAATAGAGACCAAGATCTCGGCACTCGATATGCGTGTTGCTACTGAGGTAGCTTTGCTCTTAGTCCTTTGATGGACAGAACTAAGTAAAAACCATATACACACACATAGACATATACTTACGCACACATATGTTTTACACGGGAATGTTTATATGTGCATGTATTTCAGAAATCAGTTCATACCTATGCCTCCAATTCCAAGTGATTCCCACAATGTTCTTTCCCCCCATCTCCTGTTTCATATCTATATGTTCCTTCTTTCTCTGTGAGAACCTTGACTCTCCAAAAGAATAACTAATTTGCTGAATGCTAAATACATCTAAAGCTGTTTCAGAGTTGCTTTGCCAATATCATACATAAAGTATACCGTAAGAGTTTAGAATTTCTTTGCAATTCACCCTCACCATCCAACTGTGGCCAAGATGGGGCATATCCCGCAGAATACTGTGTTCATAGCTCCCTGGATTATTTCTTTTCCCCTCTCTTCACTGTGGTTATGGCACTCATTTGAAATACAACTGGGTTTCTTCATTTCATTTTGCTCTCAGTTTTAGGGTATCCCCTATCCCTGTTTTACACACACGCACACATTTAAATATAACTTAAAAAACAGAGATGGGGTCTCACCAAGTAGCCCACGCTGGTCTTGGGTGGGAGGATTGTTTGTTCCTCAGCTCAAGCGATCCTCCTACCTCCGTCTCCCAAAGAGCTGACATTATAAGAATGAGCCACTGAGCCTGCCCTCTATCCTTGATTTAAATTTACTTTGACTATGTAGAACCATTAACAGTCTCCCCAAAGTCAACACTATGCAAAAGGATATACTCAGAAAAGAAACTCTCCTCACAGAACCCCTTCTCCTCATTCCTACCCACCCTGTGTTGAAATAGACTTAACTGTCTTCTGTTCATCCTTCCTGTGTTTTTTATAAAGATAAGGAGATAGTCGTGTTTTTCCTTATGTTTCCTTCTTTTACAAAAGTAGAATATATATGTTCCTTTGCACTTGGCTTTTTACACTCAGCAGTTGTCTCTCGTAATCACTTGAAGTTGCTTCTCAGGCAACTGCTCACAAGTAGAGAAATATTTGTGTCTATGTATAAATCGTTTCCCTGAAAAACTTTAAAGAAATCCATTGATCCCACCATGGCTTGCTTCCCTTTCTTTCTCTGTTTTCCAATACAGAAGTCCTCATCTACCATCCCAGGCCCTTAAGATCTAGCTTTCCTTTAAGGACTAGGGTTAGAATATTACTGCAGTGAATTTATCAACCTCTAGGCAAGACACTTATGACTCTAGGGATCTTCCCTAGGCAAAAGCAAAATTTCTTTTTATTTTTTCTTTCTTTTTTTTTTTTTAGAGACAGGGTTTTGCCATTTTGGCCTGGCTGATCTCGAACTCCTGACCTCAGGTGATCTGCCTGCCTTGGCCTCCCAAAGTGCTGGGATTACAGGCGTGAGCCACTACGCCCTGCTGGCAAAATTTCAATCTAAGGTGGCTGCTCCAATAGTAGCAACTAAGTAAATATTCACTGAGAGTTTTTTTAAAGATGACTTTGTGAACCTCTAATCCCTGACAGATAATCTGGAACCAGGAAAAGAAAAGGTATTTGGAAGACTCAGAACAGGCCACCATCACTGTCGGGAAATTCCTAGTCCTGCCCTGTGCAAGCCAACTGCAGCTAAATTGTCTCTGGCAGTCGCCCTCCTACCATTCCCATCACGTAGGAGAGCTGCTAGGAAGTTCACTCACTTTGTCAGCAACACCCAAGTTCAAAGGCATTAAAAGGAAGCAATTACTCCAAACCCTCTCTACACACCAGCAAGGAGGCTGGTGCTGCAGTATCTGGATATTCCAAGTTGGCCAATCTCTCCAATATCCAAAGGTGAGGGGGCAAAAATGACTAAAAATTATCCTCCCACATAGTGATTTCAATGCGCAGTAGAAACGTAAGTGGAAGAAAGTCACAGATGAATTCAGTACAGTAATGTAATAATTAACAAACGGTTCATAAACACAATCACTCTGGGATACTGCCGGGGTGGATGAGATAATTGAGTAGCTTCTGCTTCTACCTGTCCTAGATCCAGCAGAAGGAAAGGGCCTGTCCCTAAGACCCCACCAGCTGGGAACAGAGCCGGCAGCTCCAGAGATGCCTGAGGAACCCCGTCCATGGCCAGCCCATCTCCACCTTTGCTTTTGCTCTTCTACCTTCACCAGACTGAACAATGTTTTCCTTCAAGGGAAAGAGCAGTTAGTGGCTTCCAGAAGATCTAGCCCAAGAGTAATGCATGTTCTAGAACTTAACCCAAACCTACTGCAACCTCTTCTCATCTTCACGAAGCTTCTGACAAGGAAATGTGGCTATGCAATATCCTCCTCTTTGTTCACCAAGGTAATAAGGAAGATAATTATTTTGTTTAAGATGGAGTTGGTTGGGCACAGTGGCTCACGCCTATAATCCCAGCACTTTGAGAGGCTGAGGAGGGTGGATCACCTGAGGTCAGGAGTTTGAGACCAGCCTGACCAACATGATGAAACTCCGTCTCTACTAAAAATACAAAAATTAGCCAGCCGTGGTGGCATGCATCTGTAATCCCAGCTACTTGGGAGGCTGAGGCAGGAGAATCGCTTGAATCCGGGAGGCGGAGATTGCAGTAAGCTGAGATCGTGCCACTGCACTGCAGCCTGAGCAATAGAGCGAGACTCCGTCTCAAAAAAAAAAAAAAAAAAAAAAAAAAAAAGATAAAGTCTCGCTCTGTCGCCCAGGCTGGAGTACAGTGGCACGATCTTGGCTCACTGCAATCTCCACTTCCCGGGTTCAAACGATTCTCCTGCTTCAGCCTCCCAAGTTGCTGGGATTACAGGTGTGCCACCACCATGCCCGGCTAATATTTGTATTTTTAGTAGAGATGGGGGTTTCACCATGTTGGCCAGGTTGGTCTCAAACTCCTGACCTCAGGTGATCTGCCCATCTCAGCCTCCCAAAGTGCTGGGATTATAGGCGTGAGCCACTGCACCCAGCTGGAAGATGATTTTTAGTATATGTTGTAAATCAAACATTTTAAAATCTAACACTTATTTCTGAAAAAGAGAAATATATCTAATAGACATAATTCCCACACTCAAAATCTGCACTTAATAGAGTCTAATTTGTTCTAGAGAAAGCATTTATAAGGATCAGTAAGTCTAGCTGGAATAAACATGTCCTAGTAACCAATGAGCACCTTTGTTACTAAAAGTGGAAAAAGTCTTAAAAAGGTCTTCAACTTCACAGATAAGCAGCTTGCTAAAAAGTATTTTCTCCAAACAAAGACAGAGGATTACTCCAAAGGAGCAATCTATATTGTTTGGTTTTGTTTTCTGTTTGTTTTTGTTGTTGTTGTTGTTTTAGAAACAGGGTGTCAACTCTGTGGCCCAGGCTGGAGTGCAGTAGCGTGATCATGACTCACCGCATCCTCGAACTTCCGGGCTCAAGTGACTCTCTTGCCTCAGCCTTCTGAGTAGCTAGGGCTATAGGCATGTACCACCATACCCGGCTAATTTTTTTTTTTTAATTTTTGTAGAGACAGGGTCTCGCTATGTTGCCCTGGCTAGTCCTGAACTCATAGCCTCAAGCATCCTCCCATCTTGGCCTCCCAACATGCTGGGATTACAGGCGTGAGCCATTGCACCGATCCTGTGTTGCAGGGCAATTGTGCCATTTATCCTTCAAGGAATCTTTAGATTCAAATGCAATGGCCTCTCTGAAGGTCCTTGAGATAAGACAGTGAGTGGGAGAGACCTATCCTCTACTCTCTAGCATGGTACCACAAGCTGCATGAACTTAGCAGGTCACATCCTCACCTGGGCTCCAGTTATCAACTGTCAATGGGGATTCTTAACCAGATCACTGATTCAAAGATGTGACCACATATCAGAATCTCACAGTATGCTTTTATCAGCAATAGATTGTTGAACCTGAACCCAATCTACTGAACCTAGAGTGGGGAACAGGGAAAGTCTGTTCCTGCATTTCTCCAGAAGAGGGCTGAGGTCCTTTCTGGCACTAAATGTCCTAATTCTATAGATTTTTTCTTTTCCTATTTTTTAAATGGACTATTACTGAATAGTTTTAGGTTTATAGAAAAATGGAGTGGCAAGTACAGAGAATTCCCACATATACTCTCAGCCCCATGACTTAGTCTACCCAATTAATACCTTGCATTAGAGTGGCACATTTGTTACAATTGACACGCCCATAATGAGATATACATATATATATATATATATATATATATATATATATATACACACACACGTGTGTGTGTGTGTGTGTGTGTGTGTGTGTGTGTATATGTATTTTGAGACAGGGTCTCACTCTGTCACCCGGGCTATAGGGCAGTGGTGTGATCTTGGCTCACTGCAACCTCTATCTCCCAGGTTCAAGCGATTCTCCTGCCTCAGCCTCCTGAGTAGCTGGGACTACAGGTGCCCGCCACCACACCTGGTTAATTTTTATATTTTTAGTAGAGATGGGGTTTCGCCATGGCCAGGCTGCTCTTGAACTCCTGACCTCAAGTGATCTGCCCACCTCAGCCTCCCAAAGTCATACAGGTGTGAGCCAATGTGCCCAGCCCCAAAAATGACATTTTAACTAAAGTCCCTAGTTTACGTGAAGCCCGTAGTTCACCAGGGTTCACTGTTTGTGGTGTGCATCCTATGGGGGTGGGCAAATGGATAGTGACACACATGCTACCTAGTTGAAAGGACGCCCTCTTGGGTTAGCTCTTACTCTCAAGAGCAGAACACACAGTAGAGGCAGAAGAGGAAGGTGACAGGCGGCTTATGTGCCCGGATCCTCAAGTGATGACAAATCGAAGATATTTACAGTGAACAGTGGTGCATGTGCCCAGCACCATAAACACTGATCTACTTTTTTTGCTTTGTGATTGTTCCTTTTCAACACTTGGAGTATCTTTCCTACAGACTATACTCTCTGTTACTTCAACTATCAAACCCATGATTTCCTGATAAAGGAATGTGCTTCCCAAACACAGTAATTCACAGGTTCTGTGTCTTTACAACCTTGCACAATCTTTTACAAATCTGAAACGTAGCAACCAGATGTGCATAGAGATTACGTCTCTTGATCCAAAGACAACTGGCACTTGAGTTCTAAGAAAGTCTGGAGTTCAAAGAATGAGAATCTTAGCAAAGGAAAATGAAGCTCCTTAAACATACATTTTTGCACTGTTATCAAGTTATTTCTTAGGATTGATTCTAGAATAAAATGGTTGTTAAAAAATTGTACTCTAGAATAAAATGGTTGTTAAAAAATTGTACTCTAGGCAACATTTCAACATTTATGTTTTCATATGCATTTATTTTTCAAATCTAACAAACATTTTCAAGTTTGTTAGAACTAAACAGAACCTACTGGAATCAATTCTATTGATATCTTTTTTTTTTTTTTTTTTTTTTTTTTTTGAGATGGAGTCTCACTCTCTTGCCCAGGCTGGAGTGCTGTGGCATGATGTTGGGTCACTGCAACCTCCACCTCCCAGGTTCAAGCAATTTTCTACCTCAGCCTCCTGAGTAGCTGGGATTACAGGCACGCACAACCACACCCAGCTAATTTTTGTATTTTTAGTAGAGACAGGGTTTCACCATGTTGGTGAGGCTGGTTTCAATCTCCTGACCCCGTGATCTGCCCGTGTTGGCCTCCCAAAGTGCTGGGGAGCCACCGCCACTAGCTGATGTCATTTATTTTTTAACACAGCAACTTATCACATGATAGGTACTCAATGTATAGGTTTTAATTGACCAAGAAAGTACATTTAAGAAAGTTTGGAAAACTTTGTCTTCCTCTGACACAATTCTTCACTATTCTTTTTTTTTTTTTTTTTGGCAATGAAACTTAGAAAAATTTCTTTTTCCATAACGTAAACATGTCAATCTTTCCCTGTAGTTCCTTCTTCCAGTCCTTCACTGTGCTGAAGAGATATTGAATTCTTCCAGATGTTTGCTTAACTGGGTGGTTTCCAAACTCAACAGACTCTCCAGGTAGGTAGTTCCTGCACAGGGCTTTCCCGTCACTGGATCTATGACCTTTCCAACTTTGAAAATGATCTCAGCCAGTTCATGTTTCAAATGCTTTGCGCGTGGAACAGGTAAAGCTCTAAGAAGCACGATATCCCCAACTGTGCACTGCTGATGGGCATCGTGAGCAAAGCAGGTTTTCCACTTATTATAATACTTTAATAAATAGAGATCCAGAACAAGCCTGGTCACTTTCACCTTCGCAGTCTTTTGCATTTTTGTCCCAATCACCTCCCCCACGATCCATTTGGCATGGACGAGTGAACAAACTATGGACATTATGTGGCTTTGGTCACCTCTGCCACAACTGTCTGTGCAGCCACCTGCCCCAGGAAGCCTTCTTTTCTTGCTGGTTTTTTTTTTTTGTTGTTTTTTTTTTTTTTTTTTTTTTTTTTTTGATACAGAGACTTGCTCTACAGCTCAGGCTGGAATGTGGTGGTGTGATCTCAGCTCACTGCAACCTCCATCTCTTGGGTTCAAGTGAGTCTCCTGCCTCAGCCTCCCCAGATCCGACCAAAGAGGGTGGATCATCTGAGGTCAGGAGTTAGAGACCAGCCTTGCTAACATGGTGAAACTCATTTCTACTAAAAATATAAAAAGTTAGCCGGGTGTGGTAGTGTGCACTTGTAATCGCAGCTACTTGGGAGGCTGAGGCAGGAGAGTTGCTTGAACTGGGCATGGGGTGGGGGTGGGGGAGACGCAGAGGTTGCAGTGAGCCCAGATGCTGCCACTGTGGAAAATAGTACAGTGGTTTCTCAAGAAATTAAACATAGAATTACCATAGGATCTAGCAATCTTATTTCCGGGTATATATCCAAAAGAATTAACAGCAGGAATTCAAGCAGATATTTATACAGTAGACCTATGTTCATAACAGTGATATTCACAAAAGCAAAGAGGTAGAAACAATCCAAATGCTGTCTGATAACTGGATATGCAAAATGTGGTATACAGACAAGGAACTATCATTTGGCCTTAAAAAGGAAATCCTGGCACATGCATCTTACAACATGGATAACCTCTGAAGACATTATACTAAGTAAAATACACCAGTCACAGAAGGACACATGCTGTATGATTCCACTTATGTGAGGAATGCAGAGTAGGCAAATTCAGAGACAGAAGGTAGGATGATGGTTGCCAAGGGTTGGAAGGAAGGAGTTGTTTAATGAATGCAGAGCTTCAGTTGGAGAAGATGAAGAAGTTCTGCAGGTGGATGGCGGTGATGGCTGCATAGTCATGTGAATGCACTTAAAGCCACTGATGCATACAATTAAAAATGGTTAACGCAGAGTGTGGTGGCTCACAACTGTAATCCTAGCACTTTGGGAGGCTGAGGTGGGTGGATCACTTGAAGGCAGGAGTTTGAGATCAGCCTGGCCAATACAGTGAAACACTGCCTCTACTAAAAAATACAAAAATTAGCTAGGTGTGGTGGTAGGCACCTGCAATCCCAGCTACTCAGGAGGCTGAGGCAGGAGAATTGCTTGAACCCGGGAGGCGGAGGTTGCAGTGAGATCATGCATTGCACTCCAGCCTGAGCGACAAAGTGAGACTCTGTCTCAATAAATTAAAAATGGTTAAGATGGCAGATTGTATGTTGTGTAAATTTTACCACAAGAATTTTTGTCTTTTTGAGATGGAGTTTTGCTCTTGTTGCCCAGGCTGAAGTGCAATGGCGCCATCTCAGCTCACTGCAACCTCCACCTCCCAGGTTCAAGTGATTCTCCTGCCTCAACTTCCCCAGTAGCTGGGATTACAGGTGTCTGCGCCACGATTGACTAATTGTTTTGTATTTTAGTAGAGACGGGGTTTCACCTTGTTGCCCAGGCTGGTCTCAAACTCCTCAGGTGATCCACCTCTGTAGGCCTCCCAAAGTGCAGGGATTACAGGTATGAGCCATCATGCCCAGATAACAATAATTTTTTTGAAGTACTCAGTTGTTCTTTATCTCATTTGAAAAAAGGAGAAGAGATTTAAACTGATTTCAACTAAAAAAATTTCCTCACCAGACAAGTTGCCGAAAGAATAACTGGAATTTCCTTTCTGGCTGTTTCTCGAGTATCTAGCCAGGCAGTGTGCTAAAAGCTAGGCAAATCAAAAATAACAAATCATAGATCCTACCTTCCTCGGGCTTAGGGTTGAGCCCAATGGTTCTCAAATTTTAGCACATAAATGAAAATCCTCTGATGGGCTTCTTGAGCACAAGTTGCTAGCCTCTACCCTTCAGGATTTCTGATTCAGGAGGTCTGGGCTGGGGTCCGAGACTCTGCGTTTCCATCAAGTTCCCAGGTGATGCCAATGCTGCTGGCACAGGGGCCGCACTTTAAGAAGCTCTAGGGCAGGAAGAAGAACTTGTAGGTAGATAAGTAATTTCAATTAAGTGTGCTGTGATGGGAATCCACCCAGGACACATAGCAGGTAAAGGCACCCATCTGTCCTAGGAGAGGTCGAGAAAGCCTTTCCCAGAGGAGGCATTGCAGAAATTGAGATCTAGCCTGAAACCTAGAGGATATGTAGGACTCAGACAGGTGCATGGAAGGGACAGAGTATTTCAGGTGGACAGTGTTCGATTTGCATAGGTCTAGAGGTAAGAACAGCGTGTTCTTGAAATTGCAAATCTTTCCATGTCATGGGCAGTTGGAGAGTGATGGGGAAAGTAATAAGTAAGGAAGAGAGAGGTGAGGTCTATCAAAAAGGGCATTAGGAGCCTAGAGTTTATCCACAAGGTAACAAGGAGCCAACCTCAGGCAGGCTTGCAGCATTCAAGAATTGAAGCGCTAAGAACTGAGGTGAGCTTCCGAGAGAGAAGGTATGGGTCCAGCAGAGTTGCAGCCTGAGCTGGTGGGAAACGGGGCAGTGGTACATGCCCCTCTAATTCTAGGACCATCTCACACAATCCAAGCTTCAGTTCCTCAGAAAGCCTTCTGCTGCTCAGGTAAGAACCATCCAAGGCCATTGTGCCATCCAGTACAGTGGCCACTAGCCATGTGCGGCTATTAAATTAACTAAAATCAGAAGCCAGATTGTCAGTTGCACCAGCCTCATTTCAAGTGTTCAACAGCGACATGTGACAGTGGCTAGAAACAGAACACTTTTGGGCTGGGTACGGTGGCTCATGCTGTAATCCCAGCACTTTGGGAGGTCAAAGCAGGCGGATCACCTGAGGTCAGGAGTTTGAGACCAGCCTTGCTAACATGGTGAAACCCCGTTTCTACTAAAAATAAAAAAATTAGCCAGGCGTGGTGGTGTGCACCTGTAATCCCAGCTACTTGGGAGGCTGAAGCAGGAGAGTTGCTTGAACCGGGGTGGTGGGGGGGCAGGGGCAGGGGTGGGTGGCAGGCAGAGGTTGCAGTGAGCCGAGATGGTGCCATTGCACTCCAGCCTGGGCAACAAGAGCAAAACTCCGTCTCAAAAAGAAAAAAAAAAAAGAACACTTGCATTATCCCAGAAAGTTCCCTTAGCCAGCACTGGTCCAGGAAATGAAGTTTAAGTAGGATTAGATCTAAGACTTGCCAGGTATTTTGGTTCTACTGCATGAAGCCAGCAAGCAACTTGTTGGGTCTTCATTCATGAAAACATACACACATACGAGTATATACACCAGAGCTCTAACTTGATTTAAAAAAACTCTATAGAGTATAAAGCTAGACAATTAATAATTATACATTATATATAATCTATAAATATCCTAGATATCACTTTTATAATGAGATATAAGGAATTTTGGCTGAGAGCAGTGGCTCACGCCTATAATCCCAGCACTTTGTGAGGCCAAAGTGGGTGGATCATCTGAAGTCAGGAGTTCGAGACCAACCTGGCCAACATAGTGAAACCCCTTCTCTACTAACAAATACAAAAATTAGCCAGCTGTGGTGGTGTGTGCCTGTAGTCCCAGCTACTGGAGATGCTGAGGCAGGAGAATTGCTTGAACCCAGGAGGCGGAGGTTGCAGTGAACTGAGATTGCATCACTGAACTCCAGCCTGGGCAACAGAGTGAGACCCTCTCTCAAAAAAAACACATTTTTTTAAGCCACTAAGACAAATCCTAGAATCACACCTATTCTCCAAAGCCATCCCTGAATCCTAAAAATAACCAGCCAAGGGAACTGAGGGAAGAAAATATACTCCAGGTTAGAATTCTAAAAGGCCATTTTTATAGCTTATGTGCCAAAAAAAAAAAAAAAAAAAAGCTAAGCTTTTAGAGCTTTCTCTATTGTGTATTTTACAGAAGTCAGTGTGAAGGATTCAAAATATTACATAGCTAATCCTTACTCTAACTTCTAAAAATGAAACACAAGAGATGGTTGCATGCCAATTTGGTAACAAATCCCTAGTCCAAGGATAGAAGTGGAAATTGATGCAAGGAGGAAATGTGTTATGCTGTAAAATGAAACACATGTCACCCTTCGGCTGACCACAGCAGCAAACACTGTAACCAGTTAAAAAGCCTGAGAAGCAAGAGGTAGGTGATAATTTCCACGAATAAAAAATTTCAGAGGTGTTCTTGTTTTCCCAGCTGCTCAGCAAGGACTTGACCAGCCTGGATAAAAAGAGCCCACCTCCCACCTCCCATGAAGAATCAGCTGGGCAGCTTCCCAGTGAGTAAGGCAAGTGGCTGAGTATCCCGATTTTGATGGTGAGGGACAGGTGGCTTTGGGAAGTGTACTCAGACAGTATACCTTCCTTGCTCAACCATTGTCTTACCCAGGCATGTTAAGGGGAGGAGCAGCTCAGAAAAAAAGCAGAGCCAAGTATCTGCATTGCTCAAAACCTCCAATGGCCAGTAGGCTTGGCTGCCAACCCTCAGAGCCATGCATTCTGTCTGCCCCGTGACTCCTCCGTCCTCAGAGCTGTATCTCCTCCTGGGTCAGCTCTGCCAGATCTGATGGGCTTCCTTCTCCCTGCTCTGCTATTAAGCCCCTTTCTTGGGTTCAAATAAAGCTAGTTCCTCTAGAGCCTTTCCAGGTATGCCCATGGGCCTTCCCACCCAAAACCCCCTATGCATGGAAGACCATTCATTCACCAATTCCAAGTTTAGTTAAAATCAACATCCACCAGCAAGAAACTCAGTGCAAGGCTCCTTGGAGGTGCTGGGGTAAAACAAGAAACTGCTAGACTTCATTAAGCCAGCAGGCAACTGGTTAGAGCCTTAATTTATGAAACACAAATATCTCCCTCTAAATTGGTTTTTTAAATGACCGCAAATGCCACTGGACTATCTCAAATGGCAAGAAACAGCCAAAGATGACTCCAGAGTAGATAATTGTGTTGGGTATGGGAAAAGTAAGCTTATTCAGGAGCACTGAGCCCAGGGCATCCCAAATGCACAGCAAATAGTAGATCTGATCCAATAACTTTTATTTGTAATTCTAATATCATAATGTATT